ATCCGAACGATACGATTGCCCAGTATAAGACTAGGTTGGTAGGGGCTTGTTCAGGCGAAGGTTGAATGCTGACTTGACTCGCCAGTTTGAGGGGTTACAAGGGGTTGTTGACACTGTCAAACCTTCTGACGAATGTGATGGTTTCGAATGGGGCTTTGGTCCTAAAGGCAGATAGACTACCAAATCAGTGTACGCTTACTTGGAAAAAGACCTTGCTAGGTGCGACTATAGATGGATCTGGAAAGCCAAATTGCCTGTTAAAATCCAGATCTTTTTGTGGCAACTCTTTCAAGATGCTATTCTCACCAGGGATGTGATGAAACGTCGAAACTGGGCTGGTAACCCACGCTGTTCCTTTTGCAACTGCAGGGGAACCTATTTGCACTTGTTTTTCCTTTGCCCTGTTGCTAGGATAGTTTGGCGCACAGTGGGTGCGATGCTTGGAATTGACCTATGCCCCAACAATTTATGTCAGTTTTACTTTTGGTGTTACGCCTTTCTTCCTCATGGAGAGAGACATTTATTGTGGGGCTAGCGGCTGTCTGCTGGGCCATTTGGAACCGCAGAAATCAGGCCATTTTTGAATTCAAGAAATTGTCATCTCCTTTTGAGATTGTCTTCACGGCTTGCACACATTTATCTTACTGGGCAGGTCTGCTGAAAGGCGAAGAACGAGCGGAGCTGGAGCATGGCGCGGCGCTTCTGAAGAGGAACGCTAAGGAGTTGATGAGCCTTTGCGCAACTGCATACACGGGAACCACCCTGGGATGATCAAGGCGTTGTGCCTCTTGTGAGCTCTTTCTTTTGGAACTGGTCGAGCTTGCTTGCGGGTCCTGTTAGTGTTTGTCGTTCGTCTTATTCACCTGCTGCTCTGCCTCTGCGTAGGCTGTGATGTCGTTTTTAGACTTCATTTACTTTAGTGTTGAGATGATTGTGCTCCAGGGTTTGCTTCTCACAGTGGACGTCTCGATTGTGAATGTCTACGGTGGGTTTCCCTGGAGTGCTTGAACTCGCTCTTTCCCTTTTCCTGTTTGTGTACTCTCAGACATGGCTGTATTTCCGTTATTTCTATAATGAAAAGGCGATTAGCCCGGTTCCAAAAAAAAGAAAACACTGACATTGATGTTCTGTTACCGGCGGTTCATGAAGATGCAGTAGCAACGGTGCAACACCACTGACATCAATGTTCTGCTACTGCTCTCTTACCGTTTATGTTCAGTTAGAGGCAGTGACTTCTTTCTTGAGAAATGCTGATCTTGTGCTCTGCCAATGCAGAGGGGAAATGGTGATGACGAGCTGAGGTCTTGGAGAGTTCACAACCCACCAACGCAAACTACTCCCAGTTCACACAAAGATGGCATTATTTTGTTGTTCAAACAGATTTATAGTTGAAACAGATTGTTGTTGAATGGTGGAGTTGCTCTTGCTGTCAAATTAGATTGCTGCTGGTTGATTACAGTAAGCCCTATATCAGACACAAGAACATTATAATGTGTAAGATAGGCACGAAATGAGGATATCATCTACCTTCCTCCTCCTCTTATGCGCCTCGACAACTCTGGCCACGGGCACCGGCGTTCGCATTCAGCTCAAGCATGTCGATGCCGACGCCAACATCACGACCGCGGAGCGGCTGCGCCGCGCCGGCGTGCGCCTCCAGCGGCGCCTTGAGTTACTTAGCGGGGTCGCCGTGCCCTTCACCTCTCGGGGGGTGGGGGACTACATCGCCGAGTTTTCCATCGGCGACCCGCCGCAAGCCGTGCAGGGCGTCATCGACACCAGCAGCGTCCTGGTGTGGACCCAATGCATGACGTGCAGGCCCAACTGCTTCGCCCAGAACCTCGAGTACTACGACTTCTCCCTGTCGAGCACCGGCAGAGCCGTCCCCTGCAACAGCTCCCTGTGCGCCGACGACAACGCGTACGAGAAGCAGCGGTGCGCGGGCGGCCACGGCGGCACGTGTACTGTCCGGGTATCGCTGGGGTGCTGCGCAGAGAGAGGTTCACTTTCGGGACGACCACGGCCAACATCGCCTTCGGCTGCATCACGGAGACAAACAACTCCGTGCAGATGGCGCTCGACGGCGCGTCGGGCCTCATCGGCCTGGGTTACGGCGACCTGTCGCTCGTCACCCAGCTTGGGGCCACCCGGTTTTCGTACTGCCTCACCCGGTTCTTCGGTGGCAAGGTCAGCTCGAGCACCCTCTTCATCGGCCCGTCGGCCGGGCTGAGCGGCGACACGCCGGTGACGTCCGTCACGTACCAAAATCTCGGCGTTCCTTTCTCTTCGTTCTACTACCTGCTCGTGTCCGGCATGTCGGTCGGCAGAGGTTGGCTGAACATCCCATTTCCGGCGATGGGCGTGATCGTCGACTCCAACTTCCCGTTCATGTCCCTCGTCGACGTGGCCTACAAGGAGCTCATTCAAGAGGTGTCGCGGCAGCTGGGAGGTCGCCTGGTGGCGTCGCCAGTGGACTGGCTGGAGCTGTGCGTGGCCGGAGCGGACGTCCGCAGGCTTGCGCCGCCGATGGTTCTTCATTTCCAAGATGGCGGCGAGGATTTGACGATCCCAGCGGAGAATATGTGGGCGCCCATGGACCGGGAGTCGACGTCGTGTATGATGGTCATCAACTCGGCGACCCTGGAGCCGCCCATGAACCGAACCACCATTATCGGCAGCTATATGCAGCAGGATATGCATGTGCTGTACGATCTTGAGAACCACCAGATATCTTTCCAGAAAGCAGACTGCAACACTATCTGATTACCTCTGCACTGTGTACTAGTATATCTCTGGAATTAAATAAGGATAGCTACAGTATAATACTTATCTTTACTGTTTACAGCAGCGGTGTAACAACGTGGTTATGTAACAGAATATATCTTACTACGGTTTTGCATATCATATATACGAGGATCTGTCGTGTGTAATAACATTCTGGTTCAACGAAATACTCCAACCGTTTCATAACGTGGCGCGTATAGTTTGTTTTCAAAAGTCAAACTTTGCGAACTTTGACCATATGTTTAGAGAGAAAAATATTTTCATTTAGAATATCAAATACATAACATCGGATACACCCTGAGTAAATTTTTCATATTTTGTATGTTTGTCATTGTAGATGTGCATAGTTTTCTCCCTAAACCTGGTCAAAGTTCGATCAAGTGCTTGTAGTCATCGTTAGATGGTCTATAGATTTAGATGTAATTTTTATTATTTCTAGTGTTCATTAAACTGCCATGAAAAATTATGCTATATTGACTTGTCAAAAAATAAATACGTACTACATTACGGAACAGATGGAGTATATCTCATTCAAAGATAAATGTTCAATTGTCTATTTCTTGTAAATATAAGGGACTAATTTGATTAATAGAGCTCAGTGGTTCCTTCTAATAACATTGCGTCATCGAAACGCACCGCAATGGACTGACGACCAGAAAGATTGAGATATGGGGAAAACGGTCGACTAAGATCTTCTCTCGAAATAGGCTTTCGCCCCACTTTCTAAATAAACCAAACATCATACAATCAAGTACTACGACACATAGCAAATATGACGGCTGGGGCAACAGCACAATCACGCCCAAAAAAGCATAAAAGAAAAGTACCCTGAAAATTTTGCTAGTTGTCCTCTATGATGACATTTTTAATTATTTTTTGTATTTTTTTGTGTATGATTGTTTTAACAAGTATAACAGTGCAATTTTATCATCCAATCCGTGGCAATTTTTATATATTTACATCAGCTTTTCTATATGAATTTTCTATATTTGTGTGTGATTTTTACTGTTGGTTTTTTTTCATAGTTTTTAGTTGGTTTTCTGGTTTTAGTGTTTTTAATACCAAAATGGGCGTAAATGTCATATTGCGTTAATTAATCTGAGAACTAAGTCGATCAAAGTGGAGCACCTTGCAGCCGCCGCCTCCTCCTTCTCCTCCACAAAAAGCTAGGGTTTTGCCTCCCGCCGCCGTCGTCGCAGGTCCGCCTCCTCTCCGATGGCCTTAGGGCCATGGGGGCGCAGTGGATCTCGGCAAGGGTCGGCGGGAGGGCTCCGTTTTTAATCGTTTCTTTCAGTTTTGCTAGGGTTTGTGTCCTGGTTAGGAAGACGAGACGGCGGCGGCTCCCTGAAGATGAAATAAAGGTCTCCCTGCCTAGCCCCCGTTCCGGTGATGCGTCTAGCATCGTTGGTGGGCGTGTGGAGGTGTGTCTCCGGCGGATCTATCTTTGGTGGATTTGCTCGAATCTCGTCGTTGTTCGTTTACGTTCATGTGTCTTCGGATTGGATTTTTCTGATCTACGTTATTCTTCATCTGCGGCGGTTGCTGTTCTGGTGCGCTGGTCCTACGGGGCCTTAGCACGACTGTCTACTACAACAAGTTGTGCCCGACTCCGGCGATGGAGGGGCGATGACGGCGGCGCGCCTTCGGCTCGCTTCAGTATTGGTAGTTGTCGCTAGGTGGTCTACGGATCTGGATGTAATTTCTATTATTTCTAGTATTCGTTGTACTGCCATGATTGAAGATGGATAGATCGAAAATTTTCTCGCAAAAAAAAAAATACCAAAATGGGCATGTTTGGCATGCTAGCACGAGCGTCAGAAGGGTTCGCGCTGGGAGGCTTTCACTCCGAAGGAAATCGTTCGATCGTTTCCCCATGCTCCGGGGAACAATTCATTCGGTTTGGAAAGGGCTCCCACCGAACGTCCTCGTAATATCGGTGTCCTTTTATTTTGGTATGTTTAAATCATGGACATGATAATGCACAACACCTTCTAAAAAAGGATAATACACAACAAATGCTACAATATAAAAAAAGATTTTGTAGAATAATTAAAAAACAGTACGTACCATCTATAGCTTCAGAAACAAGTTGCTTAAATTTTGGCAAGTACTAGACGCGGGTGCGCCGGCCCAATAGTCGGGCCGGTCGTGCCCGAGCCACCCCATTGAATTACACACACCTATCTGATTTTGTCTCTCACGTCATCTTCTTTCTTCCCTCGTCTTCATACTGGTCAACGACAGTGACTTCAGAAGCGCGTCCTCCTTGCTGCAGCTTGTCGCAGGAACAGAAGCCGCCGTTATGGTGCGCTTGGTCGCGACGGCCAGGCCATGCATCGTCTCCGGTGACAGTGCTCGTCGAAGAACCTCTCCCTGCTCTCGATTTAGGTTGCAGATCCGTCATTGATTCGGTTGCTACTTCCCCGTCGGCCAGATGAAATTCCTGTCGTCAATGCTCCATGGTTACAGCGTTCCGGTGTCCAACCCGCCGTCCCCGCTGTCACCGCTCGCCACATGAGTTTCCAGGAACAACGACCACTAGTCGCACCATGGAAGGGACGTAGCAAAAAATATCGCTAGACGTAGCAAAAAGCGACCACGGTTGCAGCAAAAACATCATCGCCGTCGTCGCCTCACAGCTCCGTCATGGATGGATGTATTAAAATATCCTGCCGGTCATGGCAAACAGTGATAACGGTTGCAGCAAAATCAGCGTTGCCGCTATCGCGAGTTGCACCACCCCGTGCACCACCACTCAGCTCCCGTCGCCGCCGCTTGCCATCATTAGTTCGTCGTTCCTCGGTTGAAGCTTTTCAAAAGACATGTAGCAGCTATCTCATGACCGGTTGTAGCTTTTCAGTTTCCGCGGTGGCCGCCCACAACTTTTCCGTCTCTGTTTGAAGCTTTATTAGAAGTCGGTGGTAGCTTCATCAGACAACGGCTGTAGCATTTTTCTGTACTATTTGCAGCTCCTCCTGCGCCATTTGCAGCCTCCACTCTTTCTCCGATTCCAGCAAAAAAAGGTTGGTCGTAGCATTTTGTATCACTGGTTGCAGCTCCATCGAGTGTTGGTGGCAGCTCCACCACCATCGATTTGGTGGTTCCAGCAATAAAGAAGCCATGTGTAGCATTTTTGTAGAGCTGGTTGCAGCTCGTTTGCAGGAATATGAGGGTACGCATGGGACTAAGAGGGAAGAAAGGGGAGGGAGGATGCACTAGTTGTCGACGTCTTCTCCGCCCGCCGTGGCTCGCCCTATAAGCAAGGCCTCGTTCATGCCGGTGTGCTGCGTGTGAGCCGCACAGAGGAACCGAGTGGTTGCAACTAGTGCATGTCGTGAGGTAGAAGAAAGAGGAGGTGGAAAACGGTTCGTGGATGAAAGAGGGGAGCCTGAGAGCATCTCCAGCCGTTGCCCCCCCCCCCCAGAGGGCGCCTAAAATCGCCGCCTGGGGGTGACTCGGCGAAAAAAAGGGGTCTGGGGGCGAGTTGGCCCCCAACCGCCGCCCCCAGGCGCGGGAAAAAAATAGGCAAACTTGGGCTGAAACACGTCAATTTTCAGCAAACTTGGGCTTTTATATTCGCAAACTTGGGCTAAAACACGCAATTACATATAAAATCTAATAAAAAAACTTGCTGAAGGCCGAGAAGTCGCTGTCGTCGCCGTCATCGTCGGCCTTCTCCTCCTTGACTCGGGCGCCCCTGCTGGACCCCTCCCCGGCTGGTGGCGGCGGCGGCGGCGCGTCGTCGTCGTCGTCGCTGTCGTCGATAATGACGACTCCGCCTTCGTCGCGCCTCGGCGGCGCTGCGCGAAGCGCTGCAGAGCGGTGCGCTGGCGCTCCCTCGCCATCTTCAGGGAGTCCTGGCGTGCCCATTCAAGGGTCGCGTCGTCGTCGAGCTTGACCTCGTCGTGTTCCGTCTTCACCGGCACCAGCCCCGACTCCGTCTTCACCGGCGCGAGACCCGGCTCCGTCTTCGGCTTGACGAAGCGCGGGGGAGGAGCCGACGAGGAGGCACGCCGTCCGCCCTCGCTGATGACGATGCCGGCGCTGTTGGGGAACGTAGCAGAAATTCAAAATTTTTCCTACGAATCACCAAGATCTATCTATGGAGAGACCAGCAACGAGTAGAAAGGAGAGTGCATCTACATACCCTTGTAGATCGCTAAGCGGAAGCGTTCAAGTGAACGGGGTTGATGGAGTCGTACTCGTCGTGATTCAGATCACCGATGATCAAGTGCCGAACGGACGGCACCTCCGCGTTCAACACACGTACAGCCCGGTGACGTCTCCCACGCCTTGATCCAGCAAGGAGAGAGGGAGAGGTTGAGGAAGACTCCATCCAGCAGCAGCACAACGGCGTGGTGGTGGTGGAGGAGCGTGGCAATCCTGCAGGGCTTCGCCAAGCACCTACGGGAGAGGAGGAGGTGTCACGGGAGGGAGGGAGGCGCCAAGGGCTCAGGTATGGATGCCCTCCCTTCCCTCCACTATATATAGGGGCAGGGGAGAGGGGGGAGGCGCAGCCTTGCCCCCTACTCCAAGAAAGGGGTGCGGCCAAGAGGGGGGGAGGAGTCCATCCTCCCCAAGGCACCTCGGAGGTGCCTTCCCCCTCGAGGACTCTTCCCTCTAGGGTTCCCTAGGCGCATGGGCCTCTTGGGGCTGGTGCCCTTGGCCCATGTAGGCCAAGGCGCACCCCCTACAGCCCATGTGCCCCCCCGGGGCAGGTGGCCCCACCCGGTGGGCCCCCGGGACCCTTCCGGTGGTCCCGGTACAATACCGATGACCCCGAAACTTGTCCCGATGGCCGAAACAGGACTTCCTATATATAAATCTTTACCTCCGGACCATTTCGGAACTCCTCGTGACGTCCGGGATCTCATCCGGGACTCCGAACAACATTCGGTAACCACATACAAGCTTCCTTTATAACCCTAGCGTCATCGAACCTTAAGTGTGTAGACCCTACGGGTTCGGGAGACATGCAG